TGTAATCAGATGGTGGCTGGAGCTGGGGCAGCAGAGGCCTGGGAAAGCTGGGGACTGGCTCAGCAACTCTCTTCATCTAATCCCAGGGCTTCTTCGTGTGATTTCTCCACGTGAATTAGCTTGCATTTCTTCACAGTATGGCAATCTCAGGGCAGTTGGACTACTTACAGGGCAGCTCAGGGATCCAAGCAGGTGTTCCAAGAGACTAAACAGAAGCTGTATGGCCTTTTATGACCCAGCTTTGAAAGTCACATAGTGTCACTTTTACTGTAGTCACAAGCTCACCCAGAGTGATCACTAAAGAATAATAAAATGATGTACAGATAAAAGCCAATAGAGGAAATAAGTTAGAAGACTAAAACATATTTCATCAACCGCATCAAATGCCCTAACTTTCAGATAGAACTAGCAAAACTGAATTCATCCTCCATTGTAATTCAGCAATTCTGTAGGAGCAGTGTCTACCTACATTTGGTTTTGGCTGTACCAGCTTGGTAGCTACAAGAGGAAATAAATTCTTTTAGGCAATCATAGGACTTCTCTGATTCTTTGTCCTTGATTTAAAACACTGAATGTCATTTTCTTTCTTTGAGCTGTTCAGTAAACTTGGAAGCAGCCAACCTACCTCACAGTTATTGTATTCCCTTATAAAGTCCTGTTACGCAATATGCAAAGCCTTGCATTAGGTAGATGCTTTAGTCTAAGTTACCACAGATGATAATATAAGTAATTCTTTTGTCACCGGACATCATGGACTACCAGTGTTCCAACCCCTCATGATCACTGCATCCTCACTGTCTTCAAACCCAACCAGATCAGATACCAATCACAAATTTCCATTTCCTCCAGGGCTATGTTGCCTGTAATAACTTTGTATTAGTTCATGTTCTGTCTCTTATAACAGAATATCTGAAACTGGGTAATTTATAAGAAAATGAAATTTCTTTCCTTCTTTTTGTTTTTAGAAAGATGGCTGGTAAGGGGATCTTAACCCTTGACTTGGTGTTGTCAGCACTATGCTCTTCCAAGTGAGCTAACTGGCCATCCCTATATAGGGATCCAAACCTGTGGCCTTGAACCACAATCTCCCAAGTGAGCCACGGGCTGGCCCTGAAATTTATTTCTTGCAGTTTCAGTGGCTGGGATGTCCAAAAAGACAGGGGGTACATCTGGTGAGGGCTTTCTTTTTGGTGGTGACTCTCTACAGGGTCTTGTGATGATGTAGCATATCATATGGCAGGAATAGTAAAAGCTCTCTCACTTGTTCTCCTTATAAAGCCACTAGTCCACACTCTTGATAACTCATTACTCCATGAATGGATTAATCTATTCACAAGGGCACAGTCCTCACAATCCAATGTCCCTCCCAAAGGCTCCACCTTTCAAATATCATAATTGGATTTCCTACCCTCCTAACACAGTTACAGTGGGTATCAAGTTTCCAACACATGAAGTTTTGAGGGACACATTTGACCCATAGCATACTTCTATACCCAGTTACTATGGTCCTTATTTAATTGCAGACCACAGAATCCACTGTGACTGGCTAAAGTAGAAAGGAATCTAGTAAGTGAATTAGCCTTCAAGAATTTCTGGGATGGTGTGGGTAACAAGTTTCAGTGCCAGGCTGTCAAGAGAATGTCAGCCACATTGTAAGATCATTTCAGCAAAAATTCTGCTGCATCTGCAGTCTGTTATATATAATTTTGGTTGACTATACCTCTTTGTAGGTGACCTTACAGAGTTATAGTTAGATACACTAATGGCTATTATTTTATTTGTGAATAGAAGAATTACATGGATTATAATCTAAAACTTCATGTTTGTTTTGGCTATTTGGGACTTAGAATTATTTTCCCTTAGAAACTGTTTTCAGGATAGGCCTAGAAGCCTACATAACACACACTGTATCAAAAATGCAGAAGAGCCAGCAATCAAAGATACTTCCAGAAGCACAGCCCTCTTTTAAAAGACTTCACAAAAATTAGACTGCTTGAGAATTGTGGATATGTCCAACATAAAAAAAGTCAAATATGTAGAACTTAAAATTTCCAGTTTAGGTATGCTAAGGACATCCATAGTGCTCGGGCCCTTTTACTTGCCCATAATCTTAACAACTGGGCCAAATGTCATGCTATGCCAATTGTTGAGCTAGGGCTGGGTCTGGAGTTCACAGACCCCTCAAGCCCGTTGTCCAGACTGGGTCACAAACCCTTCGCATGCCAGGCTGGGTCACCAGACCCCTCACACGCAGGTCTATGAGATAGGTAACTGGCAAAGAGGTCCTTGGAAGCCATAGGTTGGAAAGCATGGCTGCAAGTGCAGCAGCCACCCAAGGCAATAAACTGCAGCCAAGGTGGTGGCGCCGCACAGGTGCACTAACTCCACACACACGAACACACACACAGCTTGCTTACAAAGGATGTGCTGAACCACACCCAACCAGACCCAAGGCGAGGGCCCTGACCAAACTATTCTACTTTCCCAACAGTGTCTTATTTTAGTTACTAAAGAATGGCTTTCCTTGATATCTATATCTACTTTGGTAATGACTATCCTAGCGTCTTTGGTGACACCACTGCTATTTTTGTGAAGGGGTTGTGTGTGTAAGCATGTGAAGCAGAGCTGCTACCATGCTTCTTGCTCTTTGTTGAAATTTATCAAGTTGTGGGGAGTTGAGGAGTGGTGGTAACAAGTACAGAATAAACTTGAGGGGCCGGCCCGGTGGCGCACTGCTACAGTACGCCGCTTGGGAGTGCGGCGACGCTCCCGTCGAGGGTTCGGATCCCACGTACAGACCGACCGCTCACTGGCTGAGCGAGGTGCGGGCGCAACACCGAGGGTTGCGATCCCGTTGCCGGTCCCGGTCCGGTACGGGCGCGACACTGAGGGTTTCGATCCGTTGCTGGTCACGAAAAAAGACAAAAAAGGGAAAAAAAAAAAAGAATAAACTTGAGGGATGAGGTGGTTCTGAGTTGTAGACACACGAGAATAATACCCAAGCCTGTGCAGTGTAGTGAGGTTGAGTTTTAATTTCTAAAGTAAATGGACTGTCTGGAATCAGATAGTTCTAATGTTAGCAAGTATTATTCATGAAGTAAGATGTAATTTGGTTAAGAAGTAGGTTTTTAGTAATGCCTATTAAATTGTACCTTTCCTCTTCTTTTATAAATTTCCCAGAAATCCCAAGCTCCCCAACCATACCATTTGTAAAAAGTAAAAACACACTTTTCATTGCCATTGGGTAGATGTGAAATTAAAGGTGCTGCTCTAACAAATGGACACAATTTGACAACTGGAGTGGAGAAATGGGGAGCTAAACAGGTCCACTTGATATCATGAAATAAGCCTCTCTCCTGTGCCTTTCCTTGAGGATTCCAGGAGGCCAGTAAAGTATTATTCACTTCTTACTCATTGTTCCTTCCTTTTACTTGTACCATATTTATTTTCTGTTGTTCCTCTCTTATTCAGCCTGTATCCTAGAAGCATGAAATAAGCACGAATCTCAAATACTGAAAAGAAAATTTTGGATCATGTGGGATAAAAATGTATATGTGTGAAAAAATAGCCTTTAGTCACAAGCAATTTCATTATTTCTTTGTGGTTTCTAGGCAGAAGAAATCCTAAGGCAAGAACTGGAGAAAAAAGAAACGCCAAGTTTATACTGCTTGCTTGGAGATGTCCTTGGAGACCACTCTTGCTATGACAAGGCCTGGGAGTTGTCCCAGCACTGCAGTGCTCGTGCTCAGCGCTCCAAAGCCCTCCTTCACCTTCGAAACAAGGAGTTTCCAGAATGTGTGGAGTGCTTCGAACGCTCAGTGAAGATTAATCCCATGCAGGTTAGACAGTTCATAAAATCCCACCTATGCTTGGTGCTTGCATTTTTCTTTGGATTTGATTCTTACTGACTGAGTACCCATTTTCTGTCCTAATGACTCATGAGCTCATCTTTGAGAACTAAGAACTTGGTCTCTAGTATACTTCTTGCTTGTCACCGAAAGTGGACAGGTAGGTTTTTCTTATTCACTTTCTGTTGCTTTTTCTGTTTTCTTTCTTTCTTTTATCTGTTCTTAACTCAAGTATAGCTATTAAAATTAATATGCAGATATGTTAAGAAAGAAATGAATGAGTCAGAATGGCAGACAGTGTAGGACTGTGCAACTAATTGCTAAAATCAGTAATGAGAGAAAAACCTTTATATAAATGGAGTAACATATAGAATGGATTGTCACTTGTTTTAAGAAAAATATGCGTCTATTTACATATATGTGAATAAATTTAAATGTTTAAAA